CTTACGCTCAGTCCGGAGTCTCGGCCCGTACCACTTTCTTTGTTCTCCGCGCGTTTGACCGTGGTCGTCCCCCTGCTCTGAACACTTGCAAATAGGCCATGGATCGGAGCCTTGTAGTTGCTGGGCCCTCTGGCAGTGGCTCTTCAGCTCGGGGGCAGAAACGACGACGCACAAACAGCGATTCTGCGAGCGGAGGGAAAAAGAAATCTAGAGGGCCAATGCCTCCATCGGCATCGAGGGCTCGTCGCGACCAGCACCATGTTGCAAAGAAGGATGTACCGAAAGAGCACAAAGGACTCAAAGTGAGTCTGAATTTTTGTTTTCTTTGTCTTACCTCGATGTACCGACACGCTTGCAAGGATGCATTGCAGCTTCATATACGAATCCTTTGGCGTCTCTTCACTGCTGAATCCATTCCAAACTCCCCCAGCAACATCACCATCGCTGCCTTTCAGCAGCGGTTCACTTCTGCGGCAGAGCTTGAGGTCTTCATGAAGACTTTGACGTACAAGCATAAAGACACATCCACGGCTGTTCGGGATCTACGTCTCTCGCTACTGGGAAAGCGAGGCATAATTGCTCGGAATGTTACCCAGATCGACGAAGTATACCTCCACACCATTTTTTCGGCTGTCTTACAGTTCGGCCTGATTGAGTGGTGCCCCGACATTCTCGCGAGCGATGCCAACTCCATGTACAACTCTGCACACGAACTCATCGCACTGCGCACCTTCCAGCAGGTCGCTGCATCCCACGCATATGTTCGCCTCGGGCCCAACCTCACAAACCTTGGCGACATGGCGCTGCTCCGACAGTGGTATCGGAACTTTGTTTTCTCGTACATGTACAAGAAAGCGAGGGCAGAGACGTTGGAGCCGGGCAGTGTTGCGATGGCTGCCGCAAAAAGGGACACCTACAAACGTCGTAAACGGGTGCGTGGACCACATTTGTTGGAAAGATATATCGCTAATTCACCTTTCAGCTTCGTGATAATCGACTTATGCACATTCTTACACAAGGATGGGCACTGCGCATGGTAAACCTTGCGAGAGCAAAGGAGTGTCATTCCGATGACGAGAGTACGAGACTCGGGAACAGCACTGTCTATCTCGTCAAGAAGAAGGTTGCGCGTAATCCGAATGTCAAGAAGTTTTTCCGCTGGGTCGACGAGGAACGGGCGAAGGTTTCCAGTGCGTCTAACGGCACGGGAGTGGAGGAACGTACCCGCGAGGACGACCCGGATGACGCCGAGTCCTCCATCTCGCGCCGGTTCCCGAAACGTGCACCACTTGACTGGTTCGATCCGGAGTACTTCAACTCCTTGCCTGCCAATCTTCGTGCTCGGTATCGCAAGGGCGGCATCTCCCTGCCGTTACCTCAGCATTGGCAAAACACTGACTTTCAGACCATGGCCGACGCAGAGTTCATGGAAAAATATGGTAACGAAGTCCTCAAGTTGTACAAGCTTCCGACGAAGGAAGAATTAGACGGTATGAAGCGAAACGCGAAGGATGACGGTTCGGAGTGGGGAGATGACGAATCCAGCGATGAGTCTGAGCTGGACTAATAACATTTCCGAGTTGAATATGTGCTCCTGTACCCTCCTCTCACGTATAAATTTGAGTTTTGGTTCGAATCTCGGAGGTCAAGTTCTATTGATCTTGGTGCTGAATTGGCGCTGGGACAGACTTCATCTAATCTGATCTTGCCTCATGGCTTTGGCAGGCTCCAGAAAACTGCCACGCCTCCTGCCCGGGGCCTGCCACTACGGCAGGTACACGGTTCCTGCCACGGGTTTTGCCCCCGGTGCGAGGAGGAGGTAAAAACCTCTGGAGCGGTAGGATACTGAGAGACACCGCGAGCATTTCTTCAAAGTTGGCCCCGATTCACCACCGTTGGGGCATCCTTCAATCGTGTTATGTTTGCCACGGTCCTTCGCCGTCAGGGGCCTAGAGATTGACTTCGAGAAGGGCGTCCACTTCAAGATGTGAACACTTACCCAACTGGAAGTAAGAACAATGCCTTCATCTTGTCCTCTAATCCATCAGGCCGGTAGCTCGGATCCAACCGTTTGCTATTCTTGTTCAAAAGCCACAGAAGCAGGTGCTGCTCTTTAAGCGTGGTCGGAAGTTTCGCGTCGGCCCAAACTGGAAGGGTCCCTTTTCGAATGTGGTGCTGGTATTGAACTGTGAATATCGGCGTCTGCCCGTCAAATTTTCGGACCTCCACCACCTGAAAATAGGGAAATTAGACCTCTGAAAGCAGGAGTGCGTGCGATATATGTGCGACGGACCTTGAGCCGAATATCCGAGGTCATCTGAGGATCCTGGAACGCATACTTCTTGTAACCCTGATCTGGATGTGTGGCGATGTCCTTTAGAATGTGCCGGAGGTCCCGAAAGGCGTTGGTATGCATCGGAATAGGGTCTGAGATTCCCCGATCCCGGATCATCCCGCATTGCCTCAAAAAAACTCGCCTCGTCGACGTTGCTGCGAGCGACTCTATCCCCCAGCTTGCCTGCTAAATCCCATAGTTGGTATGACGAGGGAATCATAGGTGGATCGGGCACGACACGCGAGATATATTGGCAGCCGTCGAGGACGTGTGTGAGGCGTTTATTGAGCTTTTCGTCAGTCAACCGGTTCTGGGTGGATAAATCCACACCCATGAGAAGCAGGAGTTCGAGAATTTCCTGACGGCTGAGCAAGAACGGCATGGTGGTTGGGAGGAAAGAGAGAGCGACCGAAAGCTGAGTCAGCCGGCAACTCCCCTATCTAAAGTGGAACTGTGGTCGGATATGCGTTGCGATGAAGGGGAAAATCGGCGGTCAGGTTCCACATCTTGCGAAGATTGAGAATTCTGAGAAATACATCTGAGCATTGGAACAAGTCTATGAGGATGCTTGGGCAGTGTTCACCCCGGTCCGGTCCGCTCGAGTATAAACGAGGTCAAATCCGTCAGTTTTCAACGGCTGCAGAAAAATAATGGGTGCTCCAATGCGCAACATTACGTGCACTTTCGCAGGGAGCTACAAGAGCGGAGAATGGGGTGTGCAGTCGCATTTGAATCTGCAAAATCAGTCGGAATAAACGAATGAAATCCAACGCGAAATTGAAGGGGGTGCAGTACCCTGTCGCAACCCTCGAATCTCTGTATTAAACGTGAAGTCTTCGACGCGGGGCACATTCTGCTGCATCTGCACCGGGGTAGTCAAGGCGTTTCTCTGCCGGGTGGGAATGTACCGCTTTGTAAAGTGGCGTTCGATACGCGTTCCACGATCCCCGCAGTCTTGACGAGTTTCCGCCCATGAATGGCGGGAGTATTCTGCCGTATATTGATCTTGACAGTATTTCCAGTATGAGCGTCAGTTGCGACATGGCATTTCAGAAACAACATACGGCGACCTTGAAAAGTCGGCAGGGGATTGGGTGCATCCCACAGAATATTCGCGCGTAGCCATACCGAAATTCGAGCCGACGATTGAGCGAGGGAATAGACGAGATTGGTGAGCGAGGGGAGGTGAGGTGAGGATGTTCAGGTTGAACAGGGAGAGGTATGACATGAAGAACGAACAATAGCGGTCCAAAAATGCAAGAGTGGCACATTCAGTATGACCGGACTCACAGGCACCAGCAGTACAAGATCTTGATCCAGATAGATATTATTTGAAGCGAAGTTTCCGTGGACTAGCACCCACCATCCATTGCAAATCCATCGAAAAGACCCCGCCGAGTACAAGGCGAGTTAAGAAACAAGAAAGACTCGCAAATCGAAGAAAGACAAGATTAAAGATATCCGCACGGGCAGAGATAAGATAGAGCCACGGTCCTGGAGATCTTCCTGAGAGTTTCACAAGGTGGAATCGTGGATCATGGATTCTGGAAGGAAGGAAGTTGTACTGTAGTATTTCGACCGAGTGTTCACTGGGTGTCACGCGTCACCGCAAGGGTTCACTGGATAAGGTGTTCACGATGACAAATAGGATCAGAATTTACCTTAAAAGGCAGTCCGGCCATTGCCGGAGCGATTTTTAGGGGCTTTTTTGGCCTATTTGGGCCGGAAAAGTCAATTGTCACCGTCACCGACCTCCAAGTGTTCAGTTCACAGACGGCCGTCACCCGTCACCTGAACACTCGGTCGAAATACTACAGTATTGTGTCTGTGTGTTTGTCCTGATCTTGACAGGCGATCACGATGGGATGATGGCCGTGCGGCGAGTTCAGTTCCACCCGGTCGTAATACGTACCAGCTGTTCACCCCGACGGCACTTCAATGGTACTTGAGCGTACAACTATTTGAGGCCCTACTCTCACAGAGAAAATGATGGCAGACCACTGCTCTTGCTCCGTGAAGTGCATATCTTAGCCATTTAACCCAGCCATGCTAGTAGCTACAATTCATGATGGACACTCAGTCCAAGTTTCAGAATATTTGAAGCCTTTTTGCGAGTGCCAGAGCTATGCCGGCGGGGACTCTTGACAATGACCGATTCTGTCACATCCAGGTGCAACATTGAAACTTCTTCCTCTCGTGTAATTCTGACACAGGCATAAATGTAAGTAGTTCAACACTTAAAACAACATCTTCAGGCTACAGCAGCATTATTTTGGGAGCAGACTGAGCCTCCTGTGGAAAGATGTGCGGTCGCTTTTCTTGTGGTAGATGATTTGATCAAGCTCGATCAATTTCACGCATTTTTGATGATCGGATTTTCTACTGGCCTCATTTCTCTCTGAAATATTCCAAGAACCTGGTCGACCATGAGAGGGAGCTAAGGGCAGATCGTATCTTTTTTATCATTAAGGATTTGGTGAAGATCCACGGTCAGCATCAGCAAATCTATCACATGGAGGTGCACTGTCAGGGGGGCCCGGGGGGGGGCCTGAAATAGTAAGTAGCTGGGCCCGCCTTCGGTTATAGAGCAGGGGCAGTTGCTAGTCCGGCACCTTGACAAGAACAAAGAGCTTCATCGAAGATAGAAAGAGCTAAAAAGATCCTATGGCCATCGTGGGGGTCGAACCCAAGACCTTCGCGTAATACGCACGACTGCGGTATATATTAGCACGACGCTCTAACCAACTGAGCTAGACGGCCGGTCGTAGACTTCCACGGTGATTCCATGGGCAACTGAATGCAGTGATCCAACGGAAATTGTCTTTTTCTCTCTCTCTCTCTCTCTCTGAAGGAAACGCAGAAGTTGCGGAGAAGTAACTTGAAGTAACTTGAAAGAACGATATACCTTTCCTCTCTATCCTAGCCCTGTAAGAGTCTGAGCTGGTTGACCTTGGAAGTCCAAACATGGACGGTATTTACCTTTGCTTAATTCGGATGACATAGCCGTGCGGTGGCAGTGACCGCTTAGGTGTTCTTCCATGCCCGCCACCAGCGCCGCGCTCCTCCAGCAGACCCTCCCGCTCCTGGTCCTCATCCTCCTTCCTCTCTGCACCCTCAAGCTCTTTGCCTTTATCCGACCTCGCATCCGCAACCCAAGCATGGCACTCGGAGCTCTGCTGCCGTGGAACTGGGGCTACTCATCTTCATTGCTCGAAAAGGAACGGGACCACGGGAAGAAGCGGCGCGTGCGGACGCGCGCGGACCAAGTGGCGGGGAGCGACGAGAAGAAACTGGCTTTGGATGTGGACTCGGAGGACGTGCACTTTCCTGGGCTGGTCAATATGTCTGGGACGCATTGTTTCATGAATTCTACGCTTCAGGTGTGTTCTGTCTTTCCACTTTACCTGTTTCTATCTTGTTTCGGCGTGTTCGGGCTAGCTGGTTGAAGGGAGGGTCTTGATCCTTCCCGAAGATTATGACCGCTGCAAATTCTATCCTTGCGGCGGTCAACTCGCTTAAGATCCTGTTTTTTTTTTGCCCTTGGGACCTTACGCTTCAATTCCGTTCTTGGAGAAGTCGGGGGCACTGCAATGAGGGCCAATCAATCCAGCCGGATGACTTCGGTGCTTGTGCACTTCTACCTTTGGCGGTTTGAATTTTTTTCCACGCCACGCCGGGTTTCGAGATTTTTTTGTATCTCCTTTTTTCATTCACCGGTGTGGCTGGGTTATTAGGTTGAGGGGTGTGTCTTTCCTGTTTTTGAATCCGCTCGGATTCATCTCCAAGTCATTTGGAGGGATCTCTATTCTTCTTCAAGTTTCCATTCCCGTCTCGGAGCGGGTCAGCTCACTGCGGTGGGCGAAGGAATGCAGCAACGTTCGGTGTTGTCTGCACTTCTGCGTTGGACCGTTCTATTATTATTATTTCACTCTTTCGACGCTGGGATTCGGGATCATACTTTCTTTTGCGCCGTGTTTTCCTTTCTACCGCTTGACTGGTTATCCTGTTGAAGGGCCGGATCTTCCTTGAAGATTCTGGATCTGCGCCAGGGTTTTTCTTTGCATCACGTTTCCTATTTTTCAGCCTGGCTGGGTTTTCTGGTCGAAGGGCGGATCTTGCTGTCCTTGCGCTCGGTCCTGTTTCTTTTGCTGGGATTTACTGGAACGGGCGAGTGCTTGTGCACTTCCCTCTGATTTTTTGTTTACCCTACGTCACTGGACGAACGGACTGCTCCTTCGACTGTACGGTCTCTTACTTCGTCGGACCCCCGTATCTTCATTTGATTCATCTTGCCTCCTTCCTCCTCATCTTCGTCCAAACTCTATCTTAAATCAGTCACTAACCCACCTCACAGGCCCTCGCGTCCCTCTCCGCCCTCCCTTCCTACCTCCTCTCAATCCGCACCCGCGCCGAAGCACTCGACGTCCCCACCCCCGTCGTCGACGCCCTCCTCGACCTGCTCGCCGCCCTCAACACCCCCACCGCCCCGCACCGCCCCCTCCGCCCCACCGCCCTCGTCGAGGCGCTTTGTGCCCCGCCACCTGTCCTAGATTCTGCATCTTCTTCACCCGCGTCTACATCCAACGCAACCGTCAGCGCATTCTGGGGCGCCGCGAGCACAAGTGGGAGTGCCGGTGGGAGTAGCGCGAAGGCGGCGGCGCTCCTGGCCTCGCATGAGCACCAGGACGCGCAGGAGCTGTTTCAGCTGCTTTCTGAGTGTGTGAGGGAGGAGGGTGCAAGGGTGGCGCGCGAGGGTGGGAGGGGGAGGGGGTTTGCGGGGATGGGATTAGGTATTGGGCTAGGCGCGGGATTGGGAGAAGATATTAGTGGAGGAGATACGAAGGAACATGAAGTGGATGAGGACCCAGGAACCGTAGGAGGAGTGGGAGCAGACGGGCTTTCGAACGCGAACGCGCCGAGTCCGTTTGACGGCCTGACGGCGACGCGGCGCGCGTGCGTGCGCTGCGGGTATACGGCGGCGATCCGCCACTTTTCGTTTGACAGCGTGCAGCTGGCGATTGAGAGTGCGGGGGGAGGCTGGGGTGGGGTGAGTCATCTTACTCTGTGTCTTGTTTCATTACCCCACATTCTTTCCTTTACACGTCTTAGCCTGAGTCTTTCTCTCTCGCAATAATTTCGCTCCGTTTTTACTCTATTTCTCGTCCCCCTCCCGTCCCCTCCATTCTCCTCTCCTCTACAACCCGACACTAACCCTCCACAGACGACCCTCCCCGCCCTCCTCCGCGCCTACACCGCGCTCGAGATCCTGCAAGACTGCCCCTGCCGGCGGTGCGCCCTCCGCGCGACGGCACGCCGCCTCCGCGAAGAAGTCGCACGGCTCGAGGAGGCCGCCCCGCCGCAGATGATGAACGGGATGCTCGTCGAGAATGCGAGTCGGCCACTTGCGAATGACCAACTCCACGCGAATGGCGCCGCCCTGCCGAATGGACAACACCTGGTGAACGGACACATTGCTGAGGAGGACGACTACGGGGAGGATGCAGAAGAGGGCGAGGAGCCGGAGCGGGAGGGGAAGGGAAAGAAGCATAAGAGCAAGAAGCACCGGAAGGATAAGGATAAGGAGAAAGAGAAGGCCTCCGGTGCGGGCGGGGAGGGCCCGACGCCCTCGCGCCTAAGACGTCTGAAGGCCGTACGCCGAATGGAGGCGCGTGTGCTGCGGGCGCTGGAGGCTGGCCGGATCGAGGAGGAGGAGCTTGAGGGGGAGTGGGATTGGAGCGGTGCGGACGGGAGTGGGGGTGGAGCAGGGGGTGCGGGGACGCTGCTGCGCGGGACGGGAGATGCGCTGAAGGGGGTAAGGTTGGAGCGAGTGGCGGGCGGGGTGTGTACGCGGCAGAGCATGTTAGGGAGGGTAGGTCTCATCCACCCATCCCCTCTTTTCCGCTTCGTTCTTCACTCCCCAAGCGCTATACTGACTTCTTTCCATCCAGCCTCCAGCTATCCTCGCCCTGCACATCAACCGCTCCGTGCACACCGGCATCCGTGTCGCGAAGAACAGCGCCCACGTCGCGTTCCCCGAGATCCTCGACCTCGCGCCTTACACCACCAGTGGCGTCCTCAACCTCGACCCCACCGCCGCACTCAGCGGTGCCCGACCTTCCCATTCGGATTTCGACTTCAACGCCTCCGCCCCCACTCCAGCCTCGCCCTCGGCGCCTGGGGAAGAGTGCCTCTACCGCCTCGCCGCAGCGGTCTGCCACTTTGGGCACCACTCCTTCGGGCACTATATATGCTATCGGCGAGCGCCGCAGGTTCCACCAGAAATGGCGAACTCGCCGTACGCGCCGTCTCCGCCAACGCGGGAGGAGAGCGGCGGCACGGGCGCGGGGTGGCTGCGCATCTCGGACGCGCGGGTGGATCGGTGTGGGGTGGAGCAGGTGTTGTCGGAGGGGAGCGCGGTGTTCATGCTGTATTATGAGCGCGTTCCCCCACCACCCCCACCGCCGCAGCCGTCACAGCCGCAGGTGTATGCGGGTGTGGGGGAGGCGGACTCGGCGGAGACGCTGAAGCCGGGGCAGTTTACCTCGACGGGGGCGGGGATGGCGATGTCGCTCAGTGGGAATGGAAGCGGGAGTGGGAGTGCGATGTGGAGTGCCCTGGAGGGTGCGAAGCCGCGGGTCGTGCGGAGCGTCAGTCTGGGTATGAGCAGCCGCGCGAGCGTATCGTCGTCCTCGCTCTCCCTGCGCTCTCCCTCCTCCGTCTCCGTCTCCCCCGCGCCGTCGACGCCGCGCGCGCGAGCGGCGGATGAGGAACGTGTGTATGGGGACGTGGCGGTAAAGGTGGAGGCGGTGGAGCCGTTGGCGCTCCGTGAGGACGACAACGTCAAAGTGGATGGAGGCGAGAATGGGGACGGGGTCGACGACGCGCGCACGCTGCCCACGCCGCCGCCCACGCCGAAGTCGGGGTCTCAGCCGCCGCCAGCTGCGCCCATGCCAATGTCGAAACCCGAGTTGGAGCCCGGGCCACCGCCGAAGACGCAGAAAGCGCGCAAGAAGAAGAAGAAGGGGAATGCGAATGGGAAGCAGGAGCAGGCGCCGGTCGCTGCCACCACCACCATATAGTGTGATTGGACCTGGCTTGGCTGCGCTTCGTTTCCGCTATTCATTCATCCTTTCGCCAATTCATCTGTTTGCGCTTCATCCATCGGTGCCTTCATTCCTCGCATCCCACACCTCTCCTCGGATCTCTCACCTTCCGAACTAAAAGCTTTGCCCGTATGCACTTCTCTTCCTGTCTGCATCTTCTGCGCTACCATCCATCATCTCCACTGTATCCCTAGCCCTTCCGTATCTCATTTACCATCTCACATAGCTCTCGTTTGCCTCCCATATCCCCTCCCCATACTCGTTATTTCCCGTACAGTCACACCCACACATCTGCCCCGCGCCGCACATTGTCTACCCTCCTGTCCGCACATCATATTCGTTTGCTTATCGTTATGCCATTCGCTCCCTCCGTCCCTCTCATCCTTCCCTCTCGTTCCAGTCCCAGCCATACTCATACTCGTAATAAACACTCAGTCGCGTTGCACATTGCACTTTGCCAGTTGTCGGAATACATGGTCGTTTGCTTATTCTCATGGCATAGTTTTTTCGCGCATACATTCCTGTTCCTTGCATTGATTCGTTTCCAGCACTTCTCGATACTTTGTTCCGTCGTTTTGCATTTCACTCCGCACCCTTGCATAGCCTTCCATCACTTCCTTTATCTTGCCTTCCACATACTCTACTTGAGCCTAGGGC